AGGAAAGGGAGTTCTCTGGCCTCGTGCACTTTCTGGGTGAGGCAACACCCCACCCTGCTTCAGCTTGTTCTCCTTGCATTGCACCCACTGTCTAATGAGTTCCAATGAGATGAACCAGTTACCTCAGTTGGAAATGCAGAGATCACCTGCCTTCTGCACCACTCTCACTGGGAACTGCTAACCAGAGCTGTTCCTATTTGGCCATCTTGGCAGAAAATCTGAAAATACATATTTTAATCATAGCTTAAAACAAACTGTAGAAGAAGTACTAAACCTGTGATGTCTGACCTCAATTGTGAAGTTTGGAATAAAATGTTGATTCCAATCAGTTTAACAATCTAGACAGCCTCTTGTGTAATTGTGTATTGTGGTAGCCATGGAGATGTGCCATTCCCCAAGAGAGTGACTGACTTTCCCACACAATCATCTTACCTGTCCCTCTTTCACAGGTGAGTAGAGACTCACAGTGGAGACGCTTTCTCTGTCTTCTCCTGCTCCAACTTCCCTTTATCTATCATAGGTATAATCCTTGATACATCTCAGACTTTCAACTAGTCTTGGCATTTGATCCTTGGAGGGTTAAATCAACATAAGTATTTATTTTCCCTTGCCACATGAGCTTGTGGTGAACAAATCTTGAGACACATTTCACCTGCCTTGGTTTTATGCTATACATTAAACTGTATTCCTGAGAAAATGTTTTTTTAAGGCAATCATTTATATTTCAAATAATTTTTGCCCATTGCTAATGAGATGGTTTGGGTCTAGTGTATACATACTAAGAAAAATGCTTATGGTTCATTCTTTCTTATCCAACTCATATGACTTTTGCTCACTCTTTTTCATAACATCTATATCTAAGTGAGTTTCTATTTCACTCAGGCCTTCTCTCTGACCTCTTGAATTTTAAAGTATTTAGTTAGCTGCACAAACGCAGCTGTCACATCTGCTCCAGGTGCACCATAGATATCAGTAGGATGAACTATATATAAAAATACATTTTGAAACAAGGTAAGAAGACCTATTCATTATCTTTGATCATATCCTTTAAAGGTCACTGACTTTGGTGGTTGCTAGCATTAGTTTTTGAGATATACCGTCTGAAAGGATAGCATAAACTAAAAGTTGATCTCTTCCATAGTCTATTACATGTGTAAACCTAATAATGCCAGATAACTTCTTGAACTTCTTGATTATCTGCCAACTTCTGAACAGATCTCATTCCAGCTGTCATCTTAGGGAAGGTTTTTAAACCCAGCAAAGTAGAGCTTAGGAGATTTTTAATGCTCATCTGAATGTGGGAATCACGGAATATTTCATTCCCTGAATGACTTAGTCATGGACTTGGGCACATCAGTAAAAAGTAATACTTGGCAAAATATCTCCAGGATGAATTGACTACAGACAGTCCCAGACTTACCATAGTTCAACTTAATGATTTTTCAACTTTATGATGGTGTGAAAGCACTGTGTGTTCAGTAGAAACCGTGCTTCAAATTTGAATGTTGATTCAAATTTTTTATAATATTAATATAAAATAGGCTTTGTGCTAGATGCTTTTGGCCAACTGTAAGCTAAGGTAAGTGTCCTGAGTATGTTTAAGGTAGGCTAGGCTAAGTTACGATGTTCAGTAGTTAGGTGCATTAAGTGTATTTTCAATTTACAGCATTTTCAACTTACAAAGGATTTATCAGGATATAACCCCATCATAAGTAAAGGGGTATGTGTAGATTAAAGTTAACCATGAAATAGACCTAAAGCCACATAGTAGATATTTACCTTTCTATAAAATAATAGGTATTGACAATTATAGAATGTCCACTGTATGTCAAGCGATATATTCTCTATACCTCATCTCTTTAATTCCTGCAATACTCTTAGAGGCAGGTAATATTACTTCCTCTATTGTATATCTGAGAGTCCTAAGGATACAGAGGTGAAATGATTTGCCTAAAGTCCCATTTCAAACAAGTGACAGAGCCTAAATTTCAATCAACATCCACTTGATTCAGAGCAGTATGTTTATAAGCACTGTACAACGCGGCTTCATTTCCTATCTGGACTGCTGACTGAATATATTGTTGATACCGTTTCAGTCCAATGCTCTGTTCCTGGTTGCAGGACATTTAATGCTTGTAGGAAATAGGAGACTCCCCGAACTTCCTATATCCAGCAATATAAGAAACTTTAAAGACATAAGATTACTTGTTTGAATGAATTAGAAACAAGTTATTAGTGTTGCTCACTCTAATCCTACAATGAAACTACATGATGAGAGATATTAATATTGAACTAATTATTAGGAAATGAAAAATAAAACAAGCCTGGGCATGGTGGCTCATGCCTGTAATCCCAGCACTTTGGGAGGCTGAGGTGAGTGAATTGTGAGATCGGGAGATAGAGACCATCCTGGCCAACATGGTCCAACATGGTGAAACCCCATCTCTATTAAAATATAAAAATTAGCTGAGAGTGGTGGTGCGTGCCTGTAATTCCAGCAACTTGGGAGGCTGAGGCAGGAGAATCACTTGAACCTGGGAGGCAGAGATTGCAGTGAGCTAAGATGATGCCACTACACTCCAGCCTGGCGACAGAGTCAGACTCCATCTCAAAAAAAAAAAAAAAAAAAGAGAGAGAAAAGAAAAAGAAAACGAATAAAGAATGCATAAAATATGGTAGAAGGTATTAACGAAGAGGGCAGGCAATGGTTCATTTGGAATTGGACAGAGTGTTTATATCTATATTAGCAACAAAGCTTACATCCAGTCCTTTTTGCATATAGACAACAAGCTTCCCACTTCCAGTCTCTGTGGCACTGTACACATTAGCTCTATCTATAAACATCCAAATCCCTGAGCTTTAAATACTATTCAATTTTCAAGGTGATGTTTCTTTCTTTTATATGCGATAGTCTTGCAGACTTGGATTTCCAGACATTAAATAATGGCACTTTCTGCCACCAAGTGGTAATAATACTTCCTTGCACCACTGGATAAGTTATTGTTCTCCATAGTATTCAGTTTTTTAAAAAAACATTACTGAATTTCTATGATGTATTAGAAACTGACTAGATTTTTTTTTCTGAAAATAAAATATATATGTATCCAAAACTTGGTATTTCATACTTAGAAAAAAACTAGTCACATCAAAATGCCCCTGTGGATTTATAAATATTTCATCTTATACCATTTAACTATACCAGTGGTTCTCGACCAGCGGCGATTGTGCCCTCCACCCCCAATCTGGTGCATTTGATAATACCGGCAGATATTTTTCGTTGTCACAGTAGAGGGTGGTGGGATCTCTGATTGACATCTAATCCCTAGATTAGATGCCAGGGATGCTGCTAAGCATTCCATAATGCACGGGAGGCCACCCACACCAAAGAATTATCTAGCCCAAAATGTCAGAGGTGAGTTATTGAATAGATGGCAAATAAATCAGAGTCATGATGGTTATGAGCCTTTCCTCACCTGCATGCTTTCTCATTATGTGCTTAGTGGGCTTCACACTAGGTCCTCACCTTTTATGATGTTCTTAAGACATTAATTATAGTTTCAAAGCCAGGGTTCCCATTGTGTTATTTAAAATGTTACGTGGAACTTTTTATGCATTTCACAAATTCATAAATTAGTGGGGTTTGAATTATGATAGAAGCTAGCTAGACCACTTCCTTCACTGTCAGACAAGAATATAGAAAGTTGAAGCAGCTTACCTACTGTTCCATGGCTAGCTTGTGGCAAAGCCAGATGGTGTTTGTTTATCCTTCAGGTTCGCTTCAAGTCCTCTTTTTGAGAACCTAAACTGCCTCTCTTTGGTTAATTTAATAAATTATATAATTCATCAGAGTGATTTTAAAATTCAGTATAAGTTAAGATATATGGACACTTACTAACATCTTTAGAGTGAGTGACAGCAAAAGGAAATAGATACATGAAAAATGATGCTATATAAATAACATTTCCAGATTTCTGTATTACAAATCTTATCAATCTTGCAATCTTGCCATATTTTTCATAATTGTGCTATTACCATAACTCAGCTATACCATAATTGCTTATGTTCATTTATACCCAGAGCCTAGCACAGGACCCTCAATATATACTTGCTTAATAGATGAATGTCTGAGTAGCTGTTGTAATTCAATATGTGGCTAAAGTATCAAAGCATTAAAGTTAATACAAGGATTTTAATTCAGTCTGATTGAGCTTTACTTACAGCAACCTAGATGTCACCAGGAAATATAAATCACTGCATATCTTTGAAGACAATCTCGAGGTGTCTCTTCCTCCAGAAAACAGCTGTGTATCATAAACATGCAAATTCAGAGCTGCTTGTTTTACTTCAGTTCTTCTACTTTTTTCCTTTAGAAAATGTATTAAAGAGGTTTTAAATCATCCCCCTACGTTAATATGTTATGCTACCACCTCTATTGAAGATTGCTTTCACTATTTCTTATTTGCCTATTCAGGTAAATATATTTTAACTTAAAAAAATGCTGCCCAAATGGGATAGTATGCAGTACCTAAAATTCAAACATTAAGTAGAAATTTTTTGGCAACTGAATTCTTTTCCACCACAGTCTTACCCTGGTGTTTCTTCAGGAGCCACATCAGACCCTGCCACAGGTGTGGATGTCTTAGTTAATCAGGTGGCACTGTTGATCCCTCATCAATGAACTATTTCCTCAATTTGCTTGACTCTTCCTCTACGATGGATGTATCTGTGAAAAGATTAAAGCATGACTCTCATGACAACATGACTGGCACTCACAAGTCTAAGAGACTCCTCAGACAACCTCTGATAGCCATTAAGAAACTGAACACACTTAAACTGTCACTGATTTGTCTTGGAAGACAGAATATTAAGCAAGTTAAACGGCACTATACAGATAGATAATTTGTGTATATGAGACTATTTGTTAATTGTATAACATCTCATTACATTATTTAAAAGAAAATTTAAATAGGAATTCATTTCTAATTATTTTCAAATTACAGGTTGGGCATAATAAACAACCAAGTGTAAGGAACTCAGAAGATTTCCATTTAAATAGTTTCAATAATCCGCCAAGACAGTATCAGGTAAGCATGGATTTTTAAAGAAATAAGAGTTGTTATTTGTAATATTTAGATTCTTAAAGTATGTGATTGTTTAAATGAAAATAAAGTATTAGGATATTTTCCTCACTATCAAATAATGCATTACTTCAACAAGTATTTATCAACTACCATATACCAGGCATTTTGTAAGTGCTAGAGAGATATAAGTTAAACAAAAAAATAGTCTTGGAATCAGATCTGAGAGAGTCTCCATGTTCAATGAAAAAGACAAACCTTAGAAAAAAACATAAAGAAGAGAGTAAAATTCATGTCAAACTCCACCATTGAGAAACAAAGACTACTTGCTTTTGGTAAAAATTCTGCCAGGTGATTATATGTCTATATATGTGTAATTTTACGTATATCTTAATAATATTATGAAATGCATATATAATACTATATGAGTTAATTGTACTTATATAATGAGTAATAGTTTTTAGCTTGTGATTTTTCTCTCCACAAAATATATATTCCTGTTAATTCAGTGAATGTATTATATTCCTTTATATAAATATATGGCAATTTACTAAAAATAATTCCTTACTGATGGACATTTAAAGTTTCATTTTTTCTGACTAGTTCTACTATGAACATACTTGTTCATGTAATAAATCATATCTTTAGAAGAGATTCTTGAAGGTAGGGACTTACTATCTACCATTTAACCTTGGCTTAGGTGTAAAATTTTGTTTAGTTCTATATCCATCCAGTACTTTCTGAGCACCCACGAAGATTCCTTCTTTTAATGAAAAAAAAAATAGTAAAATCAATGTTTGCCTGATAGAGGTCAAGTTACTTGAAAAATTTGTTACATTGAAAGTAGTCTTTCCCAAATTAATAGAAAGTTTAAAATAAAAACTGGTTCCATTTTTTGGTCAGACACATGGGGCTTAAATGAGTGGACATTAGCTTGATTCCCCATTTCCTTGAGCAATAGTGTACATCTTTCATCAACCCCACTAAAAGACTGTCTTGCTCTAATACTTTTCAAATAAAGTACGAGAAATGGACATAAGGGATTACATGTTTGCTCTAAACATTCTTTTCTAAGAATTCATTTTTGAGTCATTAGTCCAGGTGATACGGAACTGCTTTAAAAAGGAAAGCAAGGCCAGGCACGGTGGCTCATGCCTGTAATCCCAGCACTTTGAGAGGCCTAGGTGGGCAGATTACGAAGTCAAGAGATTAAGACCACCCTGGCCAACATGGTGAAACCCCGTCTGTACTAAAAATACAAAAATTAGCTGGGGATGGTGGTGCGCTCCTGTAGTCCCAGCTACTTGGGAAGCTGAGGCAGGAAAATTGCTTGAACCTGGGAGGCGGAGGTTGCAGTGAACTGGCATCATGCCACTACACTCCAGCCTGGCGACAGAGAGAGATTCTGTCTCAAAAAAAAAAAAAAAAAAAAAAGAAGGAAAGAAAAGCAAAATGTGGAGATTGCATGCATCCTAGCTGAATCACCTTAGTCTTTGTTAGCCATCACTTCCTCCCTGTGGTCAGCCCTTTGGAAGACTCAGAATCTTGTTCCAAATGAAAGATTTGTCATCAACCTCAAAATGACATAGATTTCTCCTTTCTCTGTCTAGAAAATAATGAAGAGGCTCATTAAAAGATATGTACTGCAGGCCCAGGTAGATAAGGAGAGTGACGAAGTGAACGAAGGTGAGTTGAACACAGAAACAAATCAGCCCCTGAATGTGAGTCAGGACCGGGGCCTAAGGCAGAGTGGAGGAAGAGCTGCAGAGACGCGCGTGGGGAGAGTGAACTTCAAGGAGAAAAGTAGCACAGGATCTCACCAGCCACCAATTCTGTTAAAGAGTAGGGAATAGGCTATTTCTCCACAGGTGGGGACAGCTGCCACTTGCTAGATGAAAAGCTATTATTCTCATGGTAGACTTGGAGGGAGGAGGAAGTGGGTGGGAAAGGCAAGGAAGGTGCTGCTGCCTCAACCCCTGATTTCTTCACCACCGTTTTCTTTTAACTTACCTTAGGAGGACTTTTGTTAATCATTCTGCTACAATCTCTTCATTCACCAAAACGTTTAGCTAAGAAAACAACCACCTTCTCCATTAGGAACTTATTTCCTTTGAAAGGATTTAAAATAAAATTGTGTGTGAAATTAGGGCTGATATCCTCTTGTCCCACAATCGCAAGTTTTTCTTCATTGTGTATTATAGTTGACTTCTTATCACTCTTGCTTTCAAAGGGGAACTGAAGGAAATTAAGCAGGATATCTCAAGTCTCCGCTATGAACTCCTTGAAGAAAAATCTCAGAATACACAAGACCTAGCAGAACTTATTAGAGAACTTGGAGAGAAATTATCCATGGAACCAAATCAAGAGAAAACCAATAGATAATGCGAAGACTTCCTTAGAAATTTATATTTATTTGTCCACTTGAAGCCATGTTATTTTCTGATTTTTTTTTAAGTGCCAATGTGCCCACCTTTTTTTTTTTTTTAGACAGAGTCTTGCTCTGTTGCCCAGGCTGAAGTACAGTGGTGCAAAGCTAAATAACTTGGGTGATCCTATCATCTGGAACCCTAGTATGTAATTTTTTTGGTGATTAAACTCCATCGTTCAGGGTAAAAGTTGTAGATTATGATGAAAATTATGCCCAGTGGTTTGGTGCTTGTTTTATAAACTGCTTTCTTAGATGTAACTGTAGTGATGATGTCATTGCTATGTAGTGTCTGCCGGGAAATGAGTTCCAGTGGGCAGAGGCTGACCCATGTTATTGCCCATGTGATTTTTTCCTCTGAAGGTTATTTCAGGTTCTTTCTTGCCTGCTCCGTGGATCCCCTGCTGGGGACTCCTGGCTCTGAAATTTGGGGAAAAGTAGTCCATGGCCCGCCCTTTAAAGAATGCTGTTTAACCATCATTTACCCTATTTATCCCTCAAAGCACATGATGGACACTGTTCATACAAAATGGACTTTTATCTATGTAAAATTTTCTGATTCATCTATTTGAAAATGTTATACTTAATAATGAAAAAGAATTTTTCCTCCACTGAACCCTGGAAACGTGGTCCAGTTTGTGCGTGTGTAAATGTGTACACACATACATAAAATACATAAAATGATCTATTTCTTTTGTGACTAATGTGGAAACAAAAGCTCTTTATGTTATAAATTTTTACTGTGACTAAAAAATTACTGTGTAAATAACTACCTTTTATTGGAGAAAAAAATCAAAACTGCAAACAATGTGGTTATTTGGTTCTATTTTAGCACAATTTTGTGCCATTTCTGGGAGCAATGTATGAATCCCCACACTTAGCCACTGAATGTAAAGGAGAAAAATAACATGGGAATTTTAAAATACTTATCTGTTATTCTTACTATGTTCTATCCTCTATTCAAATATATAAAACAGGAATTGGCATTCATGTGCATTACCAAGAGGTTTTTGTTATTACTTACTGATGATGTGAACTGGTGTCTTAAACAACTAAAAGAGAGACATGAAGGTTCATCTGTTTACTCAAAGACCATTGGCATTCAGAGGATGCTGGACATTAACTGGAAATGCTACTTTCAATTCAATAAAGGGATATTTCAAATGCAAACCCTTTTAACTTCATCTTAAAGATGAAATGGTCACAGAAAAGCTGTTTAGCTCCAACTTTGGCTTAATTTAAATTAAATAACATTTATGTAATCAGATCAGAAAATACAGCTGAAAATTTATATTCAGTGATTTTGTATTTGTGGGTACTACTAATGGAAAAGTAATTTAGTGATATATAAAGATCGATTTTCAAGTATTTTGTGACAATATTTGAATCAGCAGTTGTAAAAAATCAACCTCATGCCAAATGCACTATCAGAAAATTAAAATAATCTAACATCCACAGAGTGTGTGTTGTGCTGTATGAGAGATGGGCCGTCATACCAAGGATGCTCTGTGACAGCACGTGGGCTTGACTCCAGAAGACTCAAGAAAAGATATTCAGATTCCTCAGTGTCTTTTAAGTTTGATTGATTGACCTGACAAGATATAAGTTTTGGGAAACTCAACAGGCACGACTGTGTGTTCCTCAGCAAAAGACAATACCCTTCAGGTGTTTCCTATGGTTCAAATTAATGTCCTGAAGTCAGATTTTCATCAAAATGCAACTGAATTGACATCTTTTCTAATTTTATCTTCCAACTTAGAATAATTAGCATTTCTTCTAAGTTGGAAGATGAAAATGGAAATTAAACATATTTTAAGAAACCTTTTAAAAATTCCAACAAGAGCTTAATTACAGGCACATTACCAAAATGCTGTCATAAACATGGGGAAAGTTGAAAGACCACTGGCTTTAAGTCCTACCTTCATGTCACAGTCAGCTTCACCTTTGAAACTAAGATGATTTTATCCCGATTGCTCTCTGTCCTATTTCTCCCCTCCGAGTGAATGCTTTCTGGAGGCTCATTCACCCATGAGGAGGATAGAGCTGAGCTGCTTTTCACTGTGACCACACAACTGCTCCCTGAGGGCTGAGACCTGCCCACGCCTCATCTCACCACAGATCGACCACCAACGAATAGAACAAAGTCACTGTTTTTCTCCATCAAGGTCTGGGTTTCCTCTCCACTGCTCTTATTACTCTGAAACTGAGAAATAACACAAACTCAGTATGATTTTATGAGGCATATCAAAGAAATTACCAGAATCTGTTGTCTGCTTAAAACTACCAGAGATTGAAAGGAGAAGAAGAGAAGTGTTTGAACTCAAGGTACTTGCAACCAAATGGGGTAACGGTCCTTAATACAAACACGAGAAATGTTAAATATTTTCTATGAATTATCCAATTTAATCTAACTTAATGCTTACATTGACTATATAGGTAAATGCTACCATTGCTCTCATACTGGAAAGGAGACAACTGAGGCAGTTAGACGCTAGGTAACTTGCACATAGAGCATCAAAGCCAGGAATGAACACTATGCCTGCTTTGCATTTATTGGAGGTCTTGATGAGCCATAGGGGAGTGTTGTCATCTCATTGTGTTATAAGCTTGTATTTAAGTTTCTAGGTGAGGAAAAATACATGGTGTCTGAACACCCTAGCTTCCATTATATGTCCAATCCAGGGATCAATGAGCATTAAGCAAAGAAGGCTGTGGGTTAAGAGAGGATTTGGCTTCAAAAGAATTGTAGATATAGAAGAGGAAAAATATCTCTTCCTTACCCAACCTATGTTCATGGCTGCGGCCTCCATAACCAGACAGGTTAACAAGAGAAAAGCATACAAATTTATTTAGCATGCTTTATGTGACACATGAGCCTTCAGAAATGAACAAAGACACTCTGAAACTTATGCATTTTTATGTTAAGTTTGACAAAGAGTGAACAGTCATGGAGAAATGTAATTGGACAAGGGGGTATTATGTAATGGTATTGAAGTGGTAGAAACTTACCAAGGTCTATTCAGATTCTTCTCTTATACAGAAATCTATTTACAGTCAATAAGCCAATAAGGCCTGGGGCTTTAAGAGATGTAAAGCCTGTGTGTGTGTCTGTGTGTCTGTGTGTGTGTCTTCTCTGTGACTCCGTGTCTTCAGAGATAAGGAGGTTCCTATTTCCCATGTATAGGAAGGGCACTTCTGGAATCAGGGTCTCATGACCTACTTCAGTAGAAGATCAGAAAATTCTTTCTAGGTTCTATGACCTGCTTCAGGGGATAAGGGGGAGGGGAAGGTGAGAATAATTTTCCTGCTTCTGCTGTTTCTCAAATTCCTTCAGCGTAAAATATTGAATATGCTAGGGTGTCATATTTTAGAATAGCATGTCTTGAACTCTGTCATAGTTATAAAAAAGAATAAAAGATAGAGATGTGTATTTCTTGGCAGAGACAGTATGAGCAAAACCAAGAGTTGGGCATGAATGTGGGACACTTTGGGAGTTCTTTGGAGAGCAATAGTAAATTCAATGGCTATGAGTGAGCAGAATGGATTAACTCAGAAGTAAATGTTTTCACTTTATTTGGACAGTCTATCCCACCCTTCCAGATCTGTTTCAGTATGAAAGAATCTTATCGCCATGTCAATAGTGAAAACAAACCACACTTTCAATTAAAATGGAGAAACTATATGCCAGGCAGTCACCTAATGAAATCACTGTCAGGATTGATTACCAGCTTCAGACCAAGGAAGAGCCCCAGACACAGATGATGTTTCTCCAGGTGGCACATTCTGAGCATGCCCTGCACCAGTTCTGATTTGAACACATAAATATCGTCTCCCTCTTGGCTCTGAAACCCTCCTTCATCACTGCGTGCCAAGCAAGGTTTGTGAGCGTCATGCCAATCATCCTGGCAGCTCTGGTGAATGGTGCTGAATATGAATTCCTATACTTTAGAGTCTCTGCCCTTTGATGTAAACAGCACATATTTCCAGCTTAATCAAAGGTTGTGCAGGAGTGCAGCCCAGAACCCTAAAATGGATGGAACTGAAACTTCAGCTGTTATCTGTTATCATACAAAACACTGATTCCTAGTCCAAGTCATGACTTCCATATGTGGCTAGCTGAGGTAAGAGACACAGCACACTCTCTAAAAGACCTGATAATTAAAGCAATTTTTTTTTCTTGAATCATTGCAATGATTGCTTGAATTTTCTTCCTTGCTCTATGTTTGTAGCTACAGCTGTAAAAGTTTCCAGAGACACTTCTTAAAAACACTTTCCTGGGATGGATTTAATGATAAGACCTATCAAAAATATTTGATTTTAGAGATTTTTATAGAGCTCAGTAAATAGCTAGAGACAATGGCCAACTGTATGATAGTTTTTTTAAAAAAAATATTAGTGCCATACGATGGATAATTAATTTATCCAGTATAAGTGGATCATAGGGATAGTAGCTCATATTTTTCAAAATCTCATGAAAAGTACATGTCAAAAGGCACCTTATTCAATGGTAAAGGTAATTATATGTACTAAGGAGCTCACATATTCATAATGACTTTAATACTTTCTAAGTAAGCATAATGTTACCTAAAACACTGAAGAAAATAAACAGGAGAAAGATTGCTATTCTAATCTATTTGGGCTGCTAAAATAAAATACCATATAGGTAGCTTATACACAGCAGATATTTATTTTTCACTCTTCTGTGGGCTTGGAAATCCAAGATCAAGGTGCTGGCAGACTGAGTGTCTGGTGAGGGTCCACTTTCTGGTTTTTTACAGTGTCCGCTTGCTGTGTTTCCCATGAAGGAAGGGGCAAGTGAGGCCTCTAGGGACTCTTTCATAAGGGCACTAATCCCACTTGTGAGAGCTTTGGCCCCATCTTCAAATGCAATCACATTGGGAATTAGGATTTCTACATATAAACGGGGGGAGGACACAAGCATTCAGATCATAACAACGTGTTTGTATAAAATTGAAGAATTTTTCAACCTTTCTTCTTTTTCTAATGTCCACCCTGGAAGTCACAAGACTTTCATCCTTGCACACTGATAAATTATAGGAGTAGTGTATAAAAAGTCGACAAAGAGGTATATCCTCTGGGAAATGCACAGAGGGCACGCTATTTTTTTTTCCTAAATGATGAAAGAAAACCTTGATGCTGACATTCAGGAAATGAGTCTTGATTTTCATATCCCTGCATTTTTGTCCTAATTATTGTCTATGAAAATACACTCTTATACCACCATAGAAACAAATTTTTTTTTTTTCAAAATAAAGTAAGTTTACTTATTATGTCTCAGGCTAAAAGCACTGTGGCAATGGCCTACGTTTGCGTTAACCTTTTTAGTAGTCTATGATTCAGCCATGTGACATTTACTCTTCACTCTTCTTCAGAAAATGGATTTTCACCCGAGTAATTGCAAAAGGTCAAATTGTAAAGTGTTTTCTTACGTTTTGAAAAATGTTAACATGTCATGTTGTTGCTACTCTTTGTTAACACTGAGAAAAATGTATACATACACATAAACATATACACGTAAAGTCTGCCATGATATATATTGGATACCCAAAGAACATATATATATGTAATTGTATATATGCCTAAAGACATTTTTCAAAACACAGCTATCTATAATTCTATAAAAAATGTAAATATGGATCTTTTGCTTTTCCCATGTATCCTTTTACCTTTTTTTCTTCATTTCAATGATTTTACTCTCTTTGAAAAGAGAGTAAATAATATAGTCTCTCTATATTATTTACCTCTTCTGAGTTCTTTTCATCCCAGTGGTTCAGAGTACAGCATCCGCGGCCAGGAGTAGGGGTAAATCTCAGCTCTGACAGTAGCTGTATACTCTTCAACAAGTTTAACCTTTTTGGACCTCATTATCCGAATTATGCAGGAGGGGGAAAAAAAACAACTAATACCTCCTACATTGAGTTTTTGTGAGGATTAAATGAGTTAATACCTTTTAGGCTGGTGATAAGCATTCAGTTAACACCAGCAATCACAGAGAAAGCATGTGGCTCCATAATTTCTTTTGCCACTCTGTCTTAAACAGCTCTCCGTTAAACCTCATACATCTATTGAAATTTAGGTTTTAACTCATGTCTCTCTGATCACTTGGTACAACATGTCTAAGGCATTGTGATAAGAAGAATTCTGAGGCCCAGTCAGAACTGGTAGAAAAGAATGACATAGAGACAATGAAAAAAGCTTCCCATGGACATGGGAAGCTGCCTCTCATGCCACCTATTTACCATTTTTGAAAAAGATGAGTCATATTTGGGCCGTATTTGGGAAAATTTCAAAGCATTTTTATTACTTTTGAGCATGATAACTAACATCATTTTATAATAGAATCATTCATAAGGTAGCTTAGGGCAGCTTCCGTATTAGGTCCAGCTCACAAAACTTTTATTTGAAATCTGTGAAATTCATTGCAGTGCTCT